GTGAATATATATGGCTATGGTTTTTCCTTTAAACATCGCCCTCTTTTACAATTTGCATATTTGCATGAATATTTTTCCTATTCTTTACTTTCAATCCATCTGCATCTGTATATTTTAGATAAGTCTCTAGTAAGTATATATATATTTAAATTTTAGTACAGTCTGACAACCTTCGCTTGTTAATTGAAGCATTTGGTCCACTTACATTTAATGTAATTACAAACATATTTGGGTTGAAATATACTACAGCCAATGCCATGGTAAGCCAGCCATATCTTGTCCAGAACTGGAATACTCATTCTCTCAGCTGTATAGTCAACAGCTCTCAGCTGAATTTTTCTTTGGGACTTGTTCTCAGCCCTAGAATACAGCCTTACCCCAAATCATGTCCCTTTATGGGACGGTAGAAGAGGGTAGAAAACCGTATCCAATGACTGGTCAGTGACAGGGTCTAAACAAACGCCTGGACCTTTGCAAGGCCATCCCAGCTCCAAAGTTCCCAGTAGAATCAACTGAGGTCTTTGTTACCACCATATTGCAGTTTAACTTCTCTGGTCTGTCCTGTTTCCTCACTCCCTCACAGATGTTAATCTCAAGAGCTCATCCCAATAAACATCCTGCAGGCAATCTCAGTCTCTGAGTCTATTTCCCATGGGATTGTATTTGTGATATCTATCATCTTGTTATGTATTTTGTACTTCTCAGGCCTATGTTTCTTTTTCTTTTCTTTCTTGCCTTCTTTAGAACTGAGTATTCTATTATTATTCCATTTTTCCTTATTAGTTTGAAGATGATAGACTCTTTTTTCTATTCCATAGGCTATCCTAGAAATAACAATACACATATTTCAGTCAGCAAAGTCTAAAGCTAACTGAGTGATATTTTATTAATCGATATGAATAGACTAACTGATATTAACTGGTTGATACTGTTAACCTACTAAGCTATATGATAAGAATCTTAAACATCTGAACTCCTTTTACCATCCTCCCAATATATATGTAATTGTTATTCTAGTACATCATATAAGTGGAATTATACAATATTTCCTTTTGTGTCTGGCTTATATCATTCAGCATAATGTTTTTGAGGTTCATCCATGTTGTAGCATGCATCAGAATTTCATTCTAATTAAAGGTTGAATAATATTCCATGTATTTTGTTTATGCATTCATACGTTAATGGATGTTAGGGTTGTTTCCATCATTTGGCTATTGTATATAATGCTACAATAAACACTGGTATGCAAGTATCTGCTTGAGTCCCTGCTTTCAATTCTTCTGGGTATATATCTAGAAGCAGAATTGTTGGATTATATGGTAATTCTATATTTAACATTTTGAGGAACTACCCATATTGTCTTTCTGATTCTTTTTAATATTTTTCAATTCTTCATTGAAATGATCTATTGTTTTATTTAATTTCTTTACCTTACTTCCTATTTATTGAACACAGTTATTTTAAAATCCTTTCTGGGTGACTCCAATATCTGGATCATCTGTGAATCTAATTCTATTGTCCATGTTTCTCTCTTGGTTTTTGATCATGTCACCTTGTCTTTTGCTATGTCCTGTAATTTTTTTACATAGTGCCTCCAGAGAGAGTTTCCCTTCCCTTGGGTAGACAGATACAACAGCAGCTGATCATCTTAACCCAGTCAGGGACTGTGCTGAATGGAGGCTGGACTGCAGCCTCTGGTAAAGCTCAAGCTATTTTTGGCTAATCTCCATTCCAAGAGCATAGCCCTCTGGGGTTTTAAATAGAGAGCCTGGGAATTCAATGGGGTTCCCCCCACTAGCAGGTACATAACTCTAGGCTGTATCTTGTGTGACTGCCAAAATGTCTGCTCTGCTTTTCAAAGACTTTCCAATGAGATGTTTGGCCTCCCATTCTGTAAAACCCTAGGATTTGGCAAATGTCCCAACAGGATAACTGGCTGTTTGCTTGAGGCTCTCTTAGTTTTCTACAAAAGCTTGCTGGTTTCTTGTCCCCAGCAGCAGCTCTCTCCCAGTATACAGTCCTGTTTCTCAGACCCCTGTTCATGCTCAGTATCAGCAACCCTGAGGGAAAAAGAGCTACAAAAGTCAGCTCACATCTCTGAGGTTCTTTTAGCTTACCTTTACTGTTGGGGTTCAGTTCTTTAGCGTATCAGCCCACAGCATGGTGTACCAAGATCCCACCCTTGGTAGGACCTGGACTAGATTTTTAACTTCCTACCAGCATAAAACTCTATTTTAGGTCATACACCCCAAGCAAACACTCACCAAATCTAGGCTCACCTCTTTCAAATCTTATCCTCTTCCAAATCTTGATCAAGTAATTCCTCACTATCTTGTTAGCTGTCTGAAGCTTTAATGTGTACTTAAAAAATATTTTTTTCTCCTTGCTTTTTAGTTCTAATCACACAATTCCTATTAAATATTAACACTATTTTAGTACTACGGATCTTAATACTACCAGTTTTGTTAAGTTTTAAGAACGTAATTCCCAAATGCAGAGAAACTAGAACTTTTTTAAAGCCAGTCTCAGGGAAAAGATGTATTTTAGGCTCAGAAAATGTTTTCCTTATTTTCAAATTTTAGTAAGATCACCATTAAATGATGCTAAAATTATTATATTAGAATTATTAAATTATGCTAGAATTCTGCTTCTATTTCTTATAAAGTAAAATTAAAAAATCATGAAAAATACTTTAATAATATTATAAAAAATAAAATAAAAAATATTTCACAACTATAACTCACTTAGAATATTCACCAACATATACCTTATAATTTGAATATTATTGTATTCATACACAAGAACAACATACCTATTTCATTTTGTTTTAGTCTCTTAGTATTTCTAACATCCCCAGATGATGTTAATAGGTCTTCCTGAGAGAGTTATAGTGGGATGGGTTTTTTTCCTAATCAAGTGTATTTGCTTTTTCTGGAGATGCACAGTACTTATTAGTATACTAAAGATCCTGGGAAGTCCTCAGTAAAGTCACATATTTATCTTTGTTTAAATCTGCTGTTTTCAAATATATCTGAGAGCAGAAAGCTTTTATCCATGGGACACCTTTTAATGTTTCCAGGACATCTAGTTTGAGGAAAGTGTCCTAGAAAGGGAAAATAGACATTTCAAATAACTTTGGTTATTTTATGTTATTATAATTGATTATATAACTCCTGCTTCTTTCTTCTTTACTGAAGGTGAGCAGGTGAGTTTTGTGGGTTTTTCTTTCTTTCTTTTTTTTTTTTTTTAAGCTTTATTAAGCTATAATTTTGCTAGCCTTCCCTGACAAAAAGTAGCAGAAAGAGTCTGAGCTTTATACAGAGGCAGGATTAGGCCCAAATTCTGGCTCCACCATCACAAGCAAATTCTTTTCTCTCTTAGGCATATATATGTTTTTTACTAAAAGTATAGTTGACATACAATGTTATATTAATTTCATGTGAACATACTTCTTCATTTATAAAATGGGCATGGAAGACTTTCATAGTACTGTATTATTACTGATCAGTATGCAGTAATTGCCTGGCTCCAGACATTCCCATTTTATTTTATTTTTTAAAAGATTTTATTTATTTATTCATGAGAGACACAGAGAGAGAGAGAGAGGCAGAGACACAGGCCAAGGGAAAGGCAGGCTCCACACTGGGAGCCCAACGTGGGAATCGATCCTGGGACTCCAGGGTCACACCCTGGGCCGAAGGCAGTGCTAAACCGCTGAGCCACCCGGGTTGCCCAACATTCCTATTTTAAAATTCCTCAAGGATCTGGGGGTGCCTGGGTGGCTCAGCCAGTTAAGCATCTGCCTTCAGCTCAGGTCATCATGATCGTGGAGTCCTGGGATCGAGCCCTACGTCAGGCTCCCTGCTCAGCAGGAAGTCTGTTTCTCTGTCTCCCTCTGCCCCTTCCCCACTTCATGTGAGCACGTGCCCTCTCCCTCTCAAATAAATAAAATTTAAAAAAAAAATTCCTCAAGGATCTGGAATGGCCAGTTGGAATGGGCATACAAGATTGACACCTTTGAACTTGATTTGGGACTCATCTTTACTAATTCATTTCCCTGCTTATTATATCCGTTTCCTCTCTTGTCTACTTAAGAAGCTGTAATACTCCCAGGGAATAATTTCTTATCTTAATTGAGAATGCCTAGAGTTAAACTGATTTTCATTTCTTTACAGCTTTGGAAAGCTTCAGGTCGTCCTGTTTTATGTTCCTATTAACACTTGCTATTATAATCATTATCATGCCTTACTGTATTCATTTTCTTCCCTGCTAGACTGTAAGTTCCTAAGGCCATGATAGCTTGTTCCCTGCTATATGCACATACCTGGACACCACTGGCCTGGGTGAAGAGTAACCACAGAATATTTAATAAGTTAAAATAACTGGAATTCCAACAACCATTATAAAAAATATAATTCTCAGATAAAATGTTTTAATATTATTTATATCAGAAGATATTAGAAGAAAACAAGGAGTTAAATGTACTGGTCCTCAAACATGTAAGCAATAATTACTACTAGAAATCTTAAGATTGATAGAGCAACTTTCCTAAGATATAGCCAATCATTAGGCTAGAAATAAAATACTACATATGTAATATGCTTTTCAGATACATTTTTGGTATTTGAGAATGACTCCATTTATTCAAAAGATGTATTCTAGAAAGGTTGCCTGTAAATAATACTTTTATACTCTAAGTGTTTAAAAACTCATGTGATGTAAGTAAACTAAACTTTTAGTGTATTTTAAAAAGAATCCCTCTCTGTAATAAGAATGCTCTCACACTAATCTGTATTATATATTTAGATTTCTGAAGTGTAGATTTTTCAAGGTATGAAACACTCCTACTAATTTGGTCACAATGAAAAGCTAAGAAGTTCAATACAACTTTAGAGTCGAATTAAATTAACTTTTACTTTTTGAAAACAATAAGTATGTAAGTAGTAAATATAACATTATGATAGTTTTTCTATAGGCTAGGAAATAAAAAAAATACTTACTATTATTTTCTTACAGTCCTTTCCTCTGCATAGTTCTGTATAGGTAGAGTATTGCACATATATAATCCAGCTTCCAACAAAAACCACCAACCAAGAAAAGAAAAGATATTTCATCCGCACATATGAAAAGCGAGCCTGTGAGTAAAAGAGCACATAACAATTATTCATTCAACACCAAGTCAGCATTCATTGTCCTAGAACATGATTCCCCCCCCCCCCTTTTGGAAGAACTCAATATATATTCTAGGCTTTCACATGGCAATTCTACTAGAACAAAGTGTACTTTCACGGAGTCCAAACAGCACTGGTCTCAGAAAAGGAAGCTCCTCCATCCTGCCAAGGAAAAAGGAACAAAATACCCTTTAAAATGTATAACCTTTCAAATACCACCAGCATGGAAAACTACTTATGAAGCATGAGCACGTGCACCATGTTTCCCTGGGAACTCCTTGAGGTCAGGTAAAGAGATACACAATTCCTACTTACTATGAGCTTACAGGAGATAGATTTCAAATAAGATTTTTAAAATTCTTTATGGATAATCAGTATAAAAATAATTTTGTTTTAAAGAAATAAAGACAGAGAATTTGGCCATTTGTTTAATGTCTCACAGTGAAGTGTAACCAGAATAAGAAATTAAACCTCCTGCTCATTCCTTTTTCTCTGTCGTATTCACCAAGGCTTTACATTCCTTCCATTCAACCAACCAAACGCTTCACCTAATAGATATTCTGGAAGCTCGAGGAGAATGTTGTTGCAACTACAAAAGGAAAAATGATTGGAGAAGAAGGGTTAAAGAATAAATTATTCTTCTTGTGTCAGCTTATGAAGCCACACAATGGGATCCTCTTTGCTTTGTTCTGCTCCCTGTTCTTCGCTATCTAATTGCAATTTGGGCCGGTTACTGCCTTTTCTCCAACAACAACATATCAAACAGTTTAATCCTCAAAAGTGTCAGTTGGTCAAGATAATTGGACATTTATTTTTTAAGTCTGGATCTCCAATGGTCTGGTTTTATAAATGGTAAATTTGCGGGGTATGGAGATAATTGAACAGAATAAATTACAGATATGTAAACAAATAATGAAAAGCTACTTTTGCTTTTACAACCAGGAGCCAGTTTCTCACACTGGGTAACAGTAGGATACTGTGAGCACTGTGAGCATGCAAAGAAAGCAGAGAGAGATGAAAGAGACCTAAGTGCACCTGCAGAAGACAATGAGTGCAAAGGAAAAAGAGACCCAGGAAATACTGAATTCTGTTGGCTCTATTTGTGATTTAGATATCTGTGTCTGTGAGATTAACAGATGGTGAATTCCGGTACCGAAATGCTTGAGTACAACGAATTCACAGAGAAGTAACAGGTCTTTGAGCTTTATTATTAAAATATAAAAAATGCCTTTAATGCAAGCTATATTTGTATAGCTCTAAATGATCCAATAATAAGAAAATTGACAGAATTCTAAATTAAATCACATAAATGACAATGGGATATACACTGAGGGGTTTGTTTGAAAGACACTTAAGATTACTTGGCCCTACTAAAGAGTGTCTAGTCATCAGACAGAAATTGACATGAACCAGTATTATGAAGCTTAAAGATGATTAAATGATGTAATGCCTATAGAACATAAGCACAATCCTAGGCACATGCAAAATGCCCAACAAATATTAGCTAAATCAATTTGCAAGGCCCTCAGCAAAAAGCCAAGAAAGCTTTCACTATGATTTAGCCACTACTGTCTTTTTGGACTCGTAAAAAGAAAACTGAATCTGAATCTGATTAAGGCTTCAGCTACAACTACAAGTTTACTGGAAATCCAGGAGACAGAGGAGTATAAGTGATCCTTCAGTAAGTGCCAGTAAGTGTGTCTAATAGTGTCAGTCTAATAGTGTCAGTAAGTGACACTATTAGAATATAATTAGCAAACTCCAGGCTGTGGAAAATGCAACACAAACAACCCAGTTCTCCAACACGTAAGTTACAGGGGAGAAAATAAGGAGAAGATGGGGGAAATTGAAGACTAAAAAATATTTAAGAAATATATCAAATAATCGCAATCTGTGGATCTTTTCTGAGTCCTGATTCCAATGAAAAACTGTAAAAAAAATGACATTTATGAGACAATTGAAAATTTGAAGACAGGATATCTGATGTTATTAAGAAATTGTTGGGGATCCCTGGGTGGCGCAGCAGTTTGGCGCTTGCCTTTGGCCCAGGGCGTGATCCTGGAGACCTGGGATCGAATCCCACGTCGGGCTCCCGGTGCATGGAACCTGCTTCTCCCTCTGCCTATGTCTCTGCCTCTCTCTCTCTATCTCTCTGTGACTATCATAAATAAAAATAAAAATTAAAAAAAAAAGAAATTGTTTCAATTTTTCAGGCATGGTAACATAATTTTTAAAGAAAAGAGCCCAATATTTTAGAGATAGACATTGAAATATTTATGAATGAAGTGATATATTCGGAATTTTCTTCAAAACAACATTCAAGAGAAAAGTAGGTGGGATATAGTTGAAGCAAGACTGGCGATGAGTTGATAATTTTCAAGCTGAGTGATGGGTGCATGCATACCTTCTATTGTGTAATTGTGTATGTTTTTTCTACTGATGTAAAATTTTTAATGTTACGCAATAAGGCGTACTTCTACACTTCCCATACATTCATCCAGCCGCTATTTATTGGTTGTCTGTTTTGACTATTATTGTTATTGTCTTAGGCATTTTAAGAACATCTCTAGTTATTGGGGCACCTGGATGGCCTAGTTGGTTAGGGGTTGATTTCCACTCATGTCATGATTTTAGGATCATGAGATCAAGCCTCAAGTGGGGCTCTGTGCTGGGCGTGGAGCCTGCTTAAGATTTTCTCTCTCCCTTTCCCTCTCCCTCTGCGCCTCTTCTACCCACCTACCCTCCCTACCTCCACTGCTCATGCTTGAACTCTCTCTCTCTTTAAAACAAAACAATCTCTAGTTTTAAGAACAAATTATAAATCTACCCTACAAGGGCCCAATAGTTCAGAGGGTCACTTAAAGGACCACAGCATAACGTGATTTTAGTTTTTGAAGTCCAATATAATATGAATGTTTTATAGGGTTTTTTTTTAGGCAGGGTTTCTTTTTTTAAAATATTTTATTTATTTGAGAGAGAGAGAGCAAGCAAGCATGTGTGAGCAAGGGGGAGGTGCAGAGAGAGAGGGAGAGAATCTCAAGCCAATTCCATGCTGAACTTGCTGTGGCTCCATGTGGGGCTCCATCTCCATTGTGACCTGAGCTAGAACTAAGAGTCACCGACTGAGCCACCCAGGCGCTCCTTGAGGCATGATTTTAAAACAAGATGGGTTCAATTCATTTTGAAAAGAATCAAGGAAGACATGCTATATCCTTTTTCCTCTTCCTGCCTTGCTCTGCGGCAGGTATGTGTCCCAGAGTAAAGGAAAACACAGACCTAGTGAAGGGGGCTTTTTCCCAGTATTCAGGATCTGGTCCTGTCTTACCTTCTTCTTGACACTACCTCAAGCAATCTAGAGATGTTAACTGCCCTCTATCAATCATTTCTATTCAGGTTTTTGTATACATGTTCAGTAAAGCTATTGTAAGATGCTTTCAAGTGCATATTAAGCTTAATTATGTATAGACAATTAAGGCTTTTGTATATTTCTCTCTCCTGCATATTAAACCTAATAAAATTTGAAATCATTGTGATTTTTCTGTATCTCTCAAATAGCTACATTTTCTGATTTTCTCTGGCATATGTTTAAACTGAAAAACACTCTGTGAACCGGCGTGCCTGCTGAGCGCTTGTCATGGTACTGAATGCCAAAAATTTTGGAGAGGAACTTAGATTAATGGCATTCCCAGTAGGGCACTGGGCATCACCGTTGTAGACATAATGACAAAAGGAGTGAGACGTTTTTATTCCAGCACGCCATGGAAAATCACTGTGATTTAGAGGTAACATGAAATAGTTACAAGGACCTTCATGTGTCCTCTAATATCTGCAGATCCCACTGCTTCACATTTTAAAATAATGATTGAAGAAAAACAGCCGTAAATGACATTTCTAGCTATTAACTAATTTTATTTTCCTGTGCGGTAATCACTAAAATGGTCTGTTCTGTACCAATTACCTAGACAATCCAGTCTTTGATTAAGAAATGTGATCGTTTTATTTATGCTGAACTATCCAAAATAATGCCTAGCAGTTTCTGTTTCAATTTTTTCACAAAATTGAAATACATTGCTTTATTCTAAATTATGCTCCTGAGAAGCATGATAAGAATTTTAGCAAGGGGTGCCTGGGTGGCTCATTCGGTTAAGTGTTTGCCTTCAGCTCAGATCATGATTCCGGGGTCCTGGGATGGAGCCCCATATAGCATCGGGCTCCCTGCTCAGCGGGGAGTCTGCTTCTCCAACCACTCCTCCCCTTGCTTGTGCTCTCTCTCTCAAATAATTAAGTAAAATCTTTAAAAAAAGAATTTTAGTAAATATGCTATGGCAGTGATTCTCAAGGAACTGCTTTTGCCCCCTAGGGGACACCTGGCAATGTCTGGTGACATTGTTTGTTTTATGACATTTATTTCTCAACTGGGGAATGCTACTAGTATCTTGTGGGTAGAGGCCAGAGACTTTGCTAAACATCCTGCAATGCACAGAAGAACCTCCCACAGCAAAGAATTATCTGACCCCAATGTCAATAGTGCTAAGGGTGAGAAATCTTGCATTATGGTTACATTGTAAAATGAAAACAAAAATGGAAAGAATCAAAATTATATTACATTGTCATTTTATATTCAATTAGTCTTTAAGGTATCAACTACTACTAATTAGAAAAATATAACATCTGTCTGGAAATAACAGAAGCAATTCTTTATGACTAGAGTAAATGATTAGCAGTATATTAGAGAAAAATCACAGGAGATGGCAAATCTATAAATAATGAAGCAAACTTTCTCTACCAACTCCACTCTAAAGAACAGTGATGGTTTTTATTCTTTTCTATATTGCTTGATCTCATTGTGATAACTTTTTATTTCAAAAGAAATCTGGAAACCTTTGATCTTATTTGAAGAATTTTATATTAAGTTTTAAAAACAGGCATAAAGGGGAAATACATTAAAATTTAAGACTACTTCC